GGCCCCCGTCTCCTCGCCCCGTCTCGCAGCCCTCTCCTCCCCTGCCCTCTTCCAGCGTCGCTGCGGTGCGAGCCGGCTGCTGGGCTAATTGGGCTGTTGAGGAGGACCGGCTGGACGTCGAGGCCACGGCGGCTGGTCTTCCCCAGCCCTTGCGTCACTTTGGCGACAGGATGGCGACCGCGGCACTATGGACCAAAGAGCGACGCAACGGTAGCGCGCAGGTCACTGCGGCCGTAGAAAGAAGCATGTGGCAGCCACGCCGTAGTCCGAAGGGACGACGCAGCTGCAGCCCGTTGGTCGATCGGAGGGGTGCGCTGTACTCTCGAAGACGATCTTCATCAGATCCTATGAAGCTGGCAGGAGATATTTGCAGGAAGGCAGATCAAGGCTGGAATAGGTATGTGAGCACAAACACCCGCATGAGACGCAAACGCGATCACTGATCAGCCAAGACACCATATGTGGTGCATCGGCTTGACCTGGTGGCCCAACACGAGCGGCGGCTCGGGTCACTCGCTGCCGGACGACGGCAGCGGACCGTACGAGTAGCCGCCACATCAGCGCAGGAACACGTCTTCAGCGTACGGCGGGTGCGGCAACCAATCCAGCTAGATGCATGCCTGCGCGAAGATCAGGCGGATGATGGCGTGCAGATGTAGTCGATGACGATGTCGAAGTAGAGGCACGAGAAGAGTCGACAGGCGATGGGCAACGCAAACCGATCATAGATCGTAAAACCAAAAAAGAAACACCGATCAAGACAATTGACGCGAGAGAAAAATCCGGGTCAAAAGACTGGGAAAAAGACTCTCTAGAGCAACCGATCAACATGATCAGCGGACGAACCCTAGGTACGGGCGGCGCAGCCCCCGGTGACGATCATGGAGATCGACCGCCTAGGGGGCGGCGCGGTGCGGAAGCGGCGGCGGCTAATGTCTGGATCGAGATTAGGCTGATACCATGTTAGAAGGGATAGAGAGATTTGGTGAAATAGTTTGGTGATATATATAGGAGTACAATGATCAACTTGAAGTACAAGACAAAGCAGAACTAATGCTAATCTATCTCGTCTTTTCTAATAATCAATATACTAAACATTAAGCAAACGAGTAGTTTGAGGAAGGCTCTTTGACTGAACAAGTCTCCACTGCGCGAAACCCTAATAATCTAAGTGTCACGGGAGTACTACTATTCTGAAACAGAACAACATGTTGTGG